CGGGAACAGTTCTGTTGAAAGTTGTGAAGAGAATACTTTTATTTAAAATTGTGTTCAGTGATAAGGAGATGGTTGTTGCACATTCCATCGTTATTTTTCTAATCGTCCGAATCTTGAATACCAAAAGTGTGAAATTTTTTTATGGATTTTTGCTTGTGGTGCCATTCAATAGATGGCGCCACATTCTATTTATTAATCCTACCACATACATAGATACATGCTACGTCCATTATAGCAAATTTTGTTGTTTGTATTTTGTGTGATATGTTTGGGTTGAAAAGGATTATTTAATTGTACAATTTTTTTAAAGGGTTTTGTTATAAATTAATTTCATGGAAAAAGAGGAGACATCCCTTGTAGTTATCTTGTATATTTTAGGGATTTCAATATTATTTTCTTTGCTTTCTTGTACACTGAAAGAGAATCGTATTGCATTATGTTATAAAAGGTTTTATTATTATTCTTAATCCCAATTTTGCTTTCATTAGATTTATTCGTCTTTGATTATTTCTTTATAAAATACAACCAGCAGTTCAACGTTTCTCTACTTTTATACCTTTCCTCCGTTATACGTCCTGCCCTTTTCATAATTCTTCCTACTTAAACAAGACAGCACTTACTTATTCTTAAGGTTTTGTATTGCGTTTGAAATTGAGGTTATATAATACTTACAATGCGTAAATTTTAGTTTTGTATTTTATCTTTAAAATGCTTATTTTATGCATTTTATTCTGTATTTTGTGTAAAGGACTTACTTTGTATTAATATGCATTTTTGATTTTATTGGTTTTATTTTTATAATATTCATTTTAAAGGGGTTTGTTTTGTTCTATGCTACATGTTTAGATAGTAGTTTGGTGATAGTGAAGGAGTTCGTTTTATCTACAAACTTAAAGATTTGCAGTTCATTTAGTGTATTACCATACTGTACATCCCCTGCCTTTATTACATTTGTCTAACTTAACTGGATCACACTGTCAATTGGTGTTAAACTGAAAGTTGGTTTGATACTAAGCATAAGTGGTTTTGGTATGCAAATACCACCTTTATCACTCTTCTATAGTATATATTTCGTGTTTATAAAATTTTGGAACATTTTTAAAATTCTGGTTTGGAACATACAAAAGTCTGATCAAGTTTGTGCTAAATTCAGCATTAGGTATTATTTTTTTGTAAAAAGGTCTGATCATGGAAGCTACATTAACATTTTGCAACTTGTCCTGAAATGCTTTATACTTCTCTAAGATAACAAATAATGCATTACTTGATTGTCTATAATAGTAGTTTCATATTCAGATATTACTAGAAATCAATAAATGCAATTACCTTTTCTATAATGGTAAATGGGGCAGTTGACAGCTAGAGGATTTTTACAATAGGGCTATAAAGAATGTTGGTGATGAGACTGTTTGAAATTGTGAACAAAAAAAGCCTTTCTTGTAAAATTAGGTTTCTATTCATAACTGAAAGTCTAAATTCTTAAGAAAGGGTTTTAGATCATACAATAAAATGTTACCTCTGTAAGTTTTCATTATCGGCAATTTTTGGTGAAAAAAATATCATTATAACATAGAAAGAAAAAAAAAAGGAGAAAAGAGCGACTATTAGGGTTTGTAAAATTTTACTTTTCAATCTGCATTTTATTGTATTAGGTTATATTTGACATACTCAGTCGCCCACACTTGTGTTGTTTTTTCAAAAAGCAGTCTAGTCCACAGATTGAGGGTGTTTTGACAAATGAGGAAATTTTGAAAGCAATGCATCTAATATTTGGTGGGGTAAAGTTTCATAGGTTTATCAAGTTTTATAATTCACTTGTAACCACATAAGTAGAATGGCATAAGTACTAAATACTTTCAATTTGTTTTTTAATTTTCTGTCATTCACCAATAAAAAGCTATCAATGGACTGAGGACATCTTGGAAAACAGCTCTTCAATTTGTATTCTGTGAAAAAAACCCAAAAAACACATTAACATCTGTATGAAAACTTGGTTCAGTTTTGTATCCCTTTATTTATGGTTAACGAATCACAGTACTTCAAGTCACTAATAATGTGTCACAGTATGCAAAATAAGCTGGACTCTTATGTTTGACTCCTTACCATCGAACTTACAAAGACACAATATCAAAAATATGGAAGTTGCATTTTTCATAAAGTTATAGCAAGACAATCAAAAGTAGTGACAAACCCATTAAAAATGTGAACAATTGGTGTGTGTTTAAAAAACAAAACAAAAAATTAACTAGCCTTCAATACAGAACTGTATACAAGAATTAATCTGTAAACACTGGTGATTTAAAAAAAATATTGAAAGGTTGAAATTATATATAAATCAATTACAAAATTTCCACTGTTATAGACTTCATATTGCTCTGGAACTAATTAAAATTACAGGACATATTTATCCTTCAAAACACTTAATGTTGTACAATGAAATTAGGATACAAACATAATTTACCATAAAATTGGCATTTCCAGAATAGTTAAATTATAAAATGCTTCCCCCCTCTCTTTTTAGTCTAATGCTCCCTTCTTCATACCTTTTTATATGTACACACAGAATTTGATATAATTATCGAATCACTGTGAATAAAGTGTATCAGAAACACATACAATTGGAATGTCACTCATCTATTGTGCAAAAACTAACTGCACCAAAGAGCAGTCATGTGTTGATAGTTTACACTGTGGCTGGTTGATAAGCAATCAATCAGAAAGTTTAAAACCAACAAGATAAAAGTTGTATTAAAAACCTAACACAAAAACAACAACAGGCAGTCACACTGTTTCCAGGACTGAAATACCACATGAAAAGCATGTAGAAATAAAGTTCTGGGTAGTCAAGGCTACTCCATGCATAAAAATTATGGTGAAAATCAATGTTATAGTAGAAGCTGTTTGCATGAAATAGGCACTGTGTATTCTGTGAAAAAACCCAAAAAACACATTAACATCTGTATGTTAAATAGAAATGGTTGAGGCAAAAAACCAAAACTCTCTAAGAGTGATGTTAAGTATTTCAGGGTATGTTCTTTACCAAATCATCAAGAGTCAAGGACAGATCTTGCCAACAGCCTTCCTGTAAATAAAGATGTGAATGTCATATTTAGAACAGTAAGATACATATACATTAGCATGAAGTGGCTTCAATGGAAGTCTTAGTTGTTAGAAAATCACTGCTGAGAAGAAGTAACCAAAAGCTTGAAACTGGCAATGAACCACAAACCATAGAATAAGCAAAGTTGGAGACATACATTTTATAGATAAATGGAAGTTTGTAATGTTTGGCAACAATCAATGACAGTTTGATTAATGGAAGAGAAGAGAATATTGTGACTGTCAATTTACACTATATTAATTAAAGATAGTAGGGGATAAGTACAACTTTGGGGCTGCATCTTAGCTATATAAAAGTGATGGCACCTTGACTGCTTACAAGTAGATTCTGATTCATCATACCATTCCCTCAGGTACACAACTCATTGGGTGCAGATTTATCTTTCATCAAGACAATGATCTTAAACATACAGCACATATAGTGAAATGATATCTTGACAGTAAAGAGGCCAATGGAAAACTCGCAACCATGGCTTGACCTACACAAAGTCCTAGTATGAACATTACTAAAGGTATATGGGTGCAAAACAACTTGGCTGAATTGTGTGGAATAATACAGGATATTTGGAAAATATTCTACAATTGTGCATTAATAAACTGCATGGCAAATGAAAATAATGTTGTAATGTTTAGTGTAAAGCAAATGGTTTAGATACAAATTACAAGTGCATTTTACAACGTACTTTTATTTTGTATCATAATGTTTAGTACCATTAATAAGCTCACTGTCTATTTACCATTACTCATTGGTTAGGAGTCTTATATGTACAGCTTTGTATTTCCATTACTGTATATACCTTATATACCTCTTTACCATTGATGTGAATACCAGAATTAAATATAAAACAGAATTATAGCTACCCATTTCCAGGAAATCATTATTTAAGATGAAAACAAAAATTAAAGAAACTTTGATGCATATGAACAAAAAATATCAAATCAATGTAGTCAATTCAGCAATTACCTAAACTTAGGATTATTGACAGGAAAAAAAAAAGTGTAGTTGGTTAACTGTTTAAAGAGAAATCTGTGGTAAGTTTGGGTACATATATGTAATTTGAGATTAAAATCTATTTAGGTTAGTTTAAAAGTACAGAAGGAAGTAAAAAGTGCAATCCTGAGATCATTATTTATAATTAGGTTAACATGGAACTGCTATAGGATGAGAAAACTGGTCTGCCTGTGTAAAGAAAAATGAAGTACTTTACAAATCTGTAATTCTGTTAACTGAGACCTGCTATACAAAGAGCAAACTATGACATGTTAAATAGCAAAAAAAGAAAAGAAGCTAAGTTCTAAGGATATTTCAGTTACTAGAAAGAACCTGATTGAAAATCTGAATATAGATAGTACAACAAGTTTTGTACAACTAGAATTTTTTCCATTTGAAAGTTTTAGATCTATACAATTAAATGCATGGTAATGAAACTAGAGAATTTCTTTTTAAGTTAATCCTTATCAAAATTCTATCATTTGCTTGAAAACAAATTCTATTTCGCTTTTCAAATAAACTGTAGTATTAAAGTAAAAAAAATGTGAAGACAAAATCACTGACATATGCTATGATTAATTGCAGTGTATGGCCAAAATTAGGTTTAAACCTTTAAACATTAACAAAAGGTGTATAAAAACATTTTATCTACCACTGATAATCCCTCAGTAATAACAAATTTATGTTGTTGTTTGTTGCTTTTTCAGCTGGAAGGTATAATGTATGACGAAACATCACAATAATATCATTAATATTTTCAAACATTTCATTCTTATATAACTGGATCAATTCAGGCTTTGTCAAGATATCTCATTTACAGCATTTCAATTTCATTTTTGTTTTCTTTAAAATTTAATAATTTCATATCAGGTTTAAAATTTCCATTTTATCTAATGCAGTTTCAAAATTACCACTAACTGAACATGTCATACCTTATACTTGGGAATAAAAACTGGAATCAGATGAGTAGCATACTGTGCTTTGTTATCTAGTTACTTACTTATCATGACAAAACTTCATGTACACCAGTTTTCAAACACAATCTTTAATTAAGTTTCCAAAATTCTAAATAAAACCTAACATACTTGAAAAATGCTTTTGATGAAAACAACTTCCTTTGAAAAATGTTGATTTTCAAATACACATCTCTCTCTCTCAAAGATTAGTAAACAAAGATTTTCCATAAAAAATTATCAACTAGCTTAAGTTTTAAAAATTTGCTTAATCTTTCCTTGATCAATTTATTGACATTTAAATTTACTGCAGATTGATTATCTCAGTTTTTGCAACAAGTTCTTAAAAATTGTTTGAAATGTATTTTTAACTTACAAATCAAAGGGTTTGATAAGATTGTAAAAAGTGTTGTCAATAACACGTATAATGGACAGCAATCAATAAAGATAATTTTATATAAAAATAGACCTTTAAATTTCCTTATGTGCAAATCTAATATCATACAAAGAATTTATATAACAAATATGTTAAAAACACTAGTGTATGTGTGTGTAGAAATATACCTATATATATTTCAAGCTTAAACATTTTTTACAGTTCCAAATGCAAGATGACAAGAGACTAATTGGACTGACTTGTATGCATCTCAAAGGATGGCAAAGATATTAGTACAAAAATATTGAATTTAAAGTCAAATATCTTTGTAGGCTGATGCTTCTATAAAAATATTTTCAAAAACATTATATCAGTTATATCATTCGAAGCTTATATTCAGGAAAAAAAATTGGGATCCTAATTAAAAAATGATTTGAAAGAAATTTGTTTAAACATTCAGTTAATTACATTTTAACACAATAACTTCCTGGATCATAGCATTACTCTGTAAAACCACAAAAACTATATTTAATAAGTGCCAATTTTTGAAACCTTTTTATATAATAACACAAATGATTATACTTATGGTATATAACTTTCTATGTTATTCTCTTATTAAAAATGACTATTTTTGAAAATACACTAGCATCACTTGCACATATAATCATCTAGTGATAAAAAGGTTTTTGTCATAATGATATTTACAATTTTCATATAAACCAATAAATGTTAATTCTTGCAATTCATATATTTTGAAGTCATAATTTATCATAAACTGATCTAGCAGACCTGGAATATTTAAAGGTATAAAAAAAAAAACTAAAGAAATTCAATTTCAATCAGTGAGTCTTGAAAACATATTTGAATTCAGTTTTTAAATAAACAATTAATTGGATCAAATGTAAGAACTCTTGTCACATCAATGTATATACAATACTGGGAAGTAGCTATCATAAATTGTATTTTCCACTTATTGAAAAAAAGCAATATAACTGAGAAAGCTAAAAACAAAGGAAATGTTGAGACACTAGTGTAAAAGCTTCTGAAGCTACTTGGAATTTTTGTGAAACACGTAAAATCTAGACATTTTTTTTTTGTCTCATACGTCTAATTACAAGTTGGTCAACCAGAAAACTAAAGAATGGTGCAGCATCTCTTTTTATTGCTGGGTTTGGATGCTTTAACAAGTGGGCGCTCAGCTGCTTGAAATTTTCTGAAAAATGAATAATTCATAATAAGTTTTTAAAATAGACAAATATGGATTTATATTAACCACTACTTCATATCATTGTAGAGACATAAATTAAAGTATTATTGAATAATAACTGTATTTATGATGTAAAGAAGTTGATATATTTCTCTGTTATAATTATTCATAATTCAGTATAATGGCAGTTGTAGAATCAAAACTTAACATCAGAAAGGAAGATAAAAACAAACACAAAACTCATTAAAAATATAATCTAAAAATTAAGTTTAAAACTAACAGCAAATAAACTAAGACTGTAGAAAGTTAAAATAACTTCAACCAAACAAAAGTTTTCCGTTAATTTAGCTTCTGTTACCTGAATAATTTACTTATTGTCCAAACAATAATATTTTACTGACACAAAGTCACTTGCCACACTAAGATTAAGTAGCAAATAAAAATCTTGGTTATTAGCAGCTAACAAATTGAAAAACTTAAAATTTTACATTGGTGTTAAAGTTTGCCCAATTACGAGTTTATTTTATTAATAAAGGTCTATAAAATTCAATACCAGAAAAGCCTATAGCTCCAGTGCTTTCATAAAATAAATTTTCCTTCTAAAAATGCTTGAGTTATCAGATTTCCAAAATGTTATTATAAATTATATACAATCTTGATCACACATGCTTTTTTAGTAAAGTCTCCTGGTGAACACTGACATTTAAAAACTAATGGATTTGTCTATTATTCTTGGATCAGTATATTGTATATAACCTATCTTTTTTTGCAGCTAATAATAATAAGACTTTCTAGAGACATTGACATGTTTTATTCAAATTGTAACTGCATTATTCGAGAAACAAAAGGGGTAACACATTCACACTACAGATAGCCTGAAGGCATGAAAATTAGGCCAATCTCACAGTCTTCAAGTTAGGTTATATGGTGAAAAAGTAGCTACCATTTTAATAAAATTCTCTCTTTCCAAGTTCATATCTTAAGCTTCATTATTGAAATGATTTGTTTAATTGACAGAGGAACATAGTCAAGGTCACAACTTCATAAATACATATATATGATAAATATAATAACAGTAATTATTATACATACAGAAAGTCAAACTATACCCGCACTATGACTGTAACAGATAGCTTTAAAAGTGTTTTCAACAACTTCTATGTGTCACACCTATAAGAACTCAAGTACTCATTGACGAGAACCATTCAATACTTTTGTTGTAGTTATTGGTCATACAATTGAAATCCTACTCACAAAAAGAATAATTCAGAAACTTGTTATCATACATTACTCTGAGTAGATAGTCATTTGAAGTAACAAACATTAATTCACTGGAAAATGCAGCTAATAATTCTGAAAGTACCTGTTATTATACATTACTCTGAGTAGATAGTCATTTGAAGTAACAAACATTAAATTCACTGGAAAATGCAGCTAATAATTCTGAAAGTACCTGACATGGCGAACCAGGTCATGGAATGCTGCATCTACGTTCAGTCTATGTTTAGCACTGCACTCCATGTAAGGTATTTTTAACTGGTTGGCTAGTTGCTGGATATCATTCTGTGAAACCTAAAATGGCAAAATTGAACAGATATATATTATAAAAAATATTTAACAAAACTTCTAAACTTTTGTATTACTGTTATTAGTAAGGTGGTTAATTGAATTTTTTTCAGCTCCACAGAAAAAGAAAAAATTACCAGAATAAAGATATTTTCAAAAGGTGGCATTTTATATTCTTTCTTATCTCCACAATTTTCTCTAGATATGGTATGCTAATCCATCTTTCTGAGAATATCATATATTACATTGGTACTAAATTATCTTTAAGTTCACTTTCTTTTCATATTTATTCCTATATTGTTGTTGAACCTTTTAGTTTTTCTGTTGCATTCAAGAGACTTTGCTGCTCTCTTTATTCTTATTTCAGGTTGTTGTTCTAGAGTTGTGTTGGTTTTTCTGTTGCATGCAAATAACTGCTGCACACTTTATAGTTATTTCAACGTGTTGTTCTGGAATTGTGTTGGTTTTTCTGTTACATGCAAGTTACTCTGCTGCACAATTTAGTTATTTCACCGTGTTGTTCTGAAGTTGTGTTGTTTTTTATGTTGCATGCAAATAACTGTTGCACACTTTATAGTTAACAACACGGTGAAATAGTAACTTGCATGTAACAGAAAAACCAACACAACTCCAGTTGCTGCACACTTTATAGATATTTTACTATGTTGTGCTAGAGTTATGTGCATTGGTTTTTCTGTCACATGTAATTGACTTCACTGCATACTTTTCAGTTTTGTTATATTCTTTGATAGATTGTTGATAGCAGTGTTCATGATGAAACTTAATTGAATGGATGACAACAGGCAGTTGCTGTCCATTCAGCTAAGTTTCATTTTGCTATACTGTTCTGCAGTTATGTATGTTTAACCATAATATTATTGTTACACTGAGACCTCTTGTAATTATTACACTATTCTAGATGTAGTTAAAATTTTTATCCTATATTAGATGGCTTGTGTGTAGTAAGTAGAGAGCAGTTTGTTTAACGTAGCTGGATCAAAATAGATGTTTTGAAGGCAAACACTCTCAAAATTTAAAGAACAATAATTGTGTGCATGTTTTGATTTATATCTTTTAATACAATTCCCTCCCACATATACACTTAACTATTTTTATCATCTATGTATTATATTTTAATACAGAACTAAATGTACTAGACTGTTATAGCAATGCATCTGCTCTCTAAATATACAATGTTCATAAAGCTATGTTCTATATTGCAGTGGTTCCCAAACTGTGGATAGCCCCCAAGTAATGGGTTGCAAGTGATATTAAAGCTGTTGTAGAACAAAACATAGTGAAAGATAAACATATTATATCTTAGAATTATTTATAAGGGAACTACTAGACTTTACTGAAATGTATTAGAATAGTATACCACTCACCCAGCTGAGCAGGAGTCACAAAAAAAATAGCCTGGCTACTCAGGTGAGTCATAAGTTGGGAAAGTCTACTCCTGCTCCAATGTTAAAATTCAGAAAGTGACTACTAGTGGTTATTAAAATGTGTGTTAGCAAAATAAGTTTGATGAATTTACATTTGATTAAACATATGCTGGGAAAAAAAAATAACATCATCATTACTATACACTATACACATACACACAGTAAATTGAGATATCTCCATTTGCTTCCAAAAACTTCACTTTTTCTGAATGTTATTATATGCAAGAAATACCATTCTCTGATGTTCTAAGTCACACTTGTTGCCCACCAACAACATTGGAAATTCATCACGGTCTTTTACCCGTAAGATCTGTTT